TAAAACATAATTAGGGATCTGAATGAAGAAGTCATCACCAGATCAAAATAGCCTAACAATTATATGACTTGATAGCCAACATATGTTTCATATTCAAATTTGATTCCAATAATGTCAAGGAAGCACTCAAGGATGAGTACTAGATCAATTCCATGCAAGAAGAACTTGGTCAATTCAAAAGGAATAAAGTTTGGGAATTAGTTCCTAGACCCAACTCTGCCAACATTATTGGTACCAAGTGGATCTATAAAAACATGTCTGATGAGAATGGAAATGTCACAAGAATCAAAGCTCATCTAGTGGCTCAAGGGTACATGCAAATAAAGGGAGTTCATTTTGATGAAGTATTTGCTCATGTCATCCTTTTAGAAGCTATAAGGTTACTATTGGGGATATCAAGTCTTCTAAAGTTCAAACTATACAAAATGGATGTGAAAAAGTGAATTTCTTAATGGATATTTGACTGAAGAAGTATTTTTTGAACAACACAAAGGATTCATTTATCCTTGTTCTCTAGATCATGTTTACAAACTCAAGAAAGCTCTATGTAGATTGAAATAAGCTCACATAGCTTGGAATGAATGACTCATAGAGTTTCTCACCAACGATGGTTATGTTAGAGAGAGAACTGAAAAAAATTATTTGTTAAGAAAGAAGAAGGAAAGCTCATGATAACCCAATATATGTGGATGACATTGTGTTTGAATGGATGTCAAGCAAAGATGGTAGAACATTTTGTTCAACAAATGCAATCCGAGTTAGAAATGAGTTTGATTGGAAAACTTAATTCCTTTCTTGGTTTTCAAGTTAGATAAATGAAGGATGGAATATTTGTTTCTCAATGAAAGTATGCTAAGAATATTGTAAAGAAGTTTGGTCTTGAAAATGCTACGCATAAATGCACTCTTGTTTCCACTCATGTAAAACTTACTAAATATGAACAAGGAGTGATTGTTGATCAGTGTCTCTATTAGAGTTTCATACATAGTCTATTATATCTCATTTCTAGACGATCTGCCATCACCTTCTCAATAGGTGTGTGTGTGTGTGTGTGCTTAGTATCAAGCCAATCCTAAAATGAGTCACCTCACGTAAGTCAAAAGAATTATTAAGTATATAGGTGGTACTTGTGACAATGGGCTTCTATAATCATTTGATGCCAAATCCATTCTAGTTGGGTATTGTGATGCTGATTGGGAAGTAAATGTTAAGGATAGAAAAAGTACCTCAGGTGGGTGTTTCTTCTTGTGGAACAATCCCATATCATGGTTCACCAAAAATAAAAATTATGTTTCCCTATCCACTACAGAAGTTGAGTACATTGCTGCAAGAAGCAGTTGAAATCAACTAATATGGATGAAACATATGCTGAAAGAGTACAATGTCACACAAGATGTTATGACGTTATACTATGACAATATGAATGTTATTAACATCTCAAAGAATATGTTACAACATAGTCATACCAAGTGTGGAACTATGTGCTTACAAGTTTAATTAGGAAGTGATCAAAGTTAAGAAAAATATGCCTAGACCAATCAACATCGTACTTTTGATGATAATAACACATGAAAAAGTAACAAGACTTTTATGAAAGTAATGCATAAATACAATCAAGTGCGAAATCTATTTCAAGAAGTCAAAGACGCACAAGACAATTGATTAATATATTCAAAGTGTTAAGGTTTAAAGATCATTGTGATATCCTCTAATGATGGTGTCTTACTTGAATATATCTCAAGCCTTTTCTCCAAGAAAATTCAAGTGAAATGCTTATGTAATTGGTATATCTGAGTGACAGGTAAATTGGTGTAATGATGGTTGAGGTTGTGATTTCTTATGCTAACAATGAAATTGAGAATATTCTAGAATGATAAAGTAGGGTTGAGTTGTCACAATAATGAATAAGGATGGACAAAAGTTGTCATGCACTTTCAAAGGATCATGATGTCTCTCATGTGTAATATTTTATCCTAATACATATATTATGAAAGATAATATGCTTTATTCTTGGGCCATGGTTTATGGATAATTTGTAAAGACCTAAGAAGAAAAATGATAGATTTTTACAACTAAGAAACCCTACTATAAATGGAACCTACAATGGAATGAAAAATAAGTTTGAAAACTAGAAATTTTACATAGATGGAGAAAAACAGTACCATAGTTCCAATATCCATCCCTTGTCCCACATCACATATGAAGGAATATAACATTGAGAGGCGCAACACCAAATGTAACTTAGTGTTGATTGATTGCAAGTAATTGAAGTGTTTTTATTAGGGTTATCATTTTTATACTTTATGCTTATGGATGTATAACTTAGGATCTTATTTTTTTGTATTTACTTTTCTCACTATGTGCTAAACCTCATTTGTTGGATAATATGAAGTTTCAAGAAGTAGTAAAATTTTGAATATGTTAATGAATGTGACATTGTGAGATGTTTAATTCTTGTGATTTATTATCATATGCTTATTTCTCATTTTGATCATCTTATAAGTAGATACAAGTTTGTTAGCTTGTGGTAGCATTTAACAATTAGATTTCATGATTTAATGTGGTAAAGTAGCATGTAGATATACATTGTTTACCTAGTCTTTTTAGGTATAAAGGATTATGGTCATAAGGATAAATAAATTGTTTTTACTTGAAGTGTATTGGTGCTATTACGAGGTTTAGACATAAGTTCCATATTTACTCACTACATATTTTCACGTTGTTGACAAGCACCACAGGATTTAGCTAAGACCTCATATGTCACAATACCACACACCGTTTGTAAATATTAGATGAATTATTAAAATGGATCATTACCCAACATAATCTTTCACTATGTTTAATTTTTTTTGTTATATCTCATTGATTTCATAATTTTAACCGGGTGACACACTATTATTCTATTACCATAACTCATGTTTAGCTTACAAATTCTTGTACGAAGTTTCAAAGTGCTTTATACTGGGATCGATACTTTTCTGATCACTTTCTACTAGTTTGATGTGTATACTTACTTACGTATGCATAACAAAGACACATGTGGCATTTATGTGTGACTCCTAACTAAACCCCATGCAACAAATGGGTTGATGTGCCATCTTAAAAAAAGGGGTGGTTGAAAATGTCTAATCTGGCTCAGTGCTAATAGTTACATTTTAAATATTATGTTGCTCTTTAATAATGAATTGATGTTACACTTGCTGGTTGTTATTTAGTCATAATAATCCATTAATGCTCGTGCATCTGAATCTTCCAGGGCCATGGTCTGATGCATGGTCTGGTGAGTAGTTAAGCGCACAACTTTGCTTGGCTAGGCTGGGTTACGTGTTGAGCATGCTGTAAAGCTTGTGGCACGACTTTATGAATAACTTGATCTTTAATGGTTTCCTTATCACATTTGATGTTGAGATGGTTGTACCATCCGTAACACGAGCAGATGATGTGAAGTCTTTCGTAATGCACCTTATACCAATGACCCTTGATCTAAACTTTATTGACAACTACGAGGGTAAGATCAACCTCTACACAAATGCAGGTAAAACGACCATGCTCCACCTTCAAGGTATTGTTATCAAATTTTATCGAACAACTTATGACCAAAGTAAAGGCATAAAGTAAGATATAAACTCTAGTGTACAACGAGAGACAATGAAGTACTAGTAAAAATTCTTCCAAGGATAGTCCGTGATGACTTTTTCTTTGTCACTAACGTGATCAAATTTGATCATGTAGAAAAGCATCATCATTGTCTATGATCTCAAAACTGTTTGATTTTCTAAATTTTTAAAATTCGTTTCTTTATAGTGTTACATCCCAAATATTTTCACCTTGGAGTTTGACAACTACATGATTTATCCATGGGGTGTAAATATCTTGGTTTTTTTAGGTGAATCTTTAATAGAAGTATGATACTATTTTCATATTCTATGCAAACAAGATTATTAATGACATGGTTTTCTTTTTTATGGGCAATGAAAGGGTAAGTATATCCCAAAAACATTCTATGGAAGGGATTTTTGGTAAAGGCGGTGTAATGAGAGTTTTAGGAGGTTATTTAATGTGTTAGACTTGATCATTAACTTAAACAAAATTCTGGGTAGAGTCAAAGTTTAACTTTTTTTTTTATATATTTTTTAAGTAACTTATAATTTTTCTTTTCATTCGATAATATTTAGCTATGTTTGTTAGTAATTTTTCTAAAGATATACCCTTCCTCTTTTTACTTAAGCATTTTTAATTTTTTTTTGTTATTTAGGTTAAGAAAAATAATTACTAATTTTATTATTTTTATTTTGTATGTTTGCATTTTTAAAATATGTATTATAATACTTTTAATTTTTTTTATATTCATTTTAAAGTAAAACAGAAGTAGTAGTTTCTTGAGAATTTAAAAATACTTTGATGAAATATCAAAGTTTTTTTTTTTTAAATTTAATTAAAAGTTTTGAGTTTGAATTCAACTATAAAAATGATTTTGTTGTTCATTGTGGTACTTTCGAATCAAAATATTAATAATTTAAAAAAATCTAATTAATAAAAGATTTCATTTAAATTTATATTTAGACATTTTTTTCTTTTCATAAGCTTTATAATTAGAGATTACTCATATGTAAATATAAGTTAAGATGAAATAATAATAATTGAAAATATATAAATATATAAATTTTGTTGTTGTATGATAAAAAAGGGTTAAAAAATGATGTAGAATATAAATTAATTTTAAAAAATGAGTTAAATGAGAATAAAATTTTTTAAATTAATTAACTGAGATGACAAAATGATATATTACCGTATTAGATTGGATGACACAGTACTTAAACCCTAAAAACGATAGTAAATAATTTTAGGATAAAGAAGTATTATGGAATTAATGAATATGAAGAAAATAAAATAGAAGATGAGAATATGTACATGATGAAATGGAAATGTGGTCGATTATTCAGATACGCTTCTTGTTTGATATCCGAGTTTTGAGTCCTTGTTGATTTGAAGAATCAATGATGAAGAACGGGATTGTCACCGATCACTGGGCTTTTCTTGTAAGCAACAACACTCTCTTCTCCTTTCTTCTTACTTTCATTTTAGAGTTTTGCTTATTCAACTTGTTCACATTCTTAATAAAATTGGTTATTATTTTTATTTTTATTTTTATCCATTCCGCACTAGACACAATTTTTAGGGTTTTGGATTATGCAAAAATTGCTGTTAAAATGTGTGCAAGTAATCATGACAAAATGCGTGGAAATTTGCGTTTTCCATTTACAAGTTAGCTGTTTACTTTTCCTTGCATGACATACAGGAACATTTTGATGCACCTATGTGGGCAGATTTGACTCTGGAACCCAACTCTGCTTATATGTGAGTCACTTTCACTTGTAAATTCCCCCATTTCTTTTCATCTATTTTGTTTATTTTTCAAGTTATTTTGGTTGTGATGCAGAACTGATGATGATGACTGGTTCCACAAAAATCACTTGTAAGTATGCTTTTCTAATAGTTCTTGGGTTTTCCATATTGGATTTCACTCAATCATCAAATCATTTCCAGGTTCCACCGGTTGTCTGCTCGCCAGTTAAAATCTAAATTTGCTCACTCTCTGGATGGATTTGCTTCGCCGGGACTTCCTTCTTCAGTCTCTAAATCAAGAGGAAAACACTACAACAATAAGATCAACTGGGGGAAAGGTATTAATCTAAATGCTTTGTTGGATAAGCAGGAGGGTTTAAGCACAAGGGGATGCTTCAAACAAGGTGTCAGCATTGGTTATCAAGTGAAGCCCAAATCAACATCAAGTGTTAGCAACCCAAAATCAGGCTTGACTTTTCAACACAATGCCAAGGGAAAAACTGTGGGAACTTCAAGTTCTATGGATAAAAAGAATTATGAAACCACGCTTGCATCTGAGAACATGATTCAAAACAAGGATTATAAGGAGCATAAGAAGGTATCATATGATGAGAAAGGAAAAAATTTGTTGGTAAGAAGCAATAGTTTTGGGAAAAGTGTGGTTACAGAAGCTTCAAGAGTTCAGGACCAGCATAAATATATGGAGGTGTCTAATAAACTATGTGATCAGAAAAGTGGAAGTTCATCTGTGAATAGTATTAGTCTTAGGAAAAGTTATGTGACACAGAAAGCCTCAAAAGTGGAAATGGATGTTGATAACATGAAATCAAGAGGTCGTAATTCATCTTCTGGGAAGTCTAGTGTTGGGTCATGTTCAAATCCTAGTTATGAAGTCAAGTTTGTATCAAAGGAACAGGGGAAGAAAATCACAAATACGAAATATGTGGTCACAATGAATCTTGCAGATAAGAATAGGTCCAACCTCGGAAACAAATTCAAGACATCATCCATTACAGCTGAAGGAAAAGGAAAAGGAAGCATAATAGGAAATAACATCAATGTTGCAAGGTCATTGGTGAGAAGCTGTACTGTCTTCAAGTCATGCATTCTTTTATATCATTTAACATGAAGATATTATCTTTTAACAATTGTGAATGACTTAGCTAATCTGACCTGTCTCATATAATATTATAATTAGTTTAATATCGAAAAAATTATCACCAACTGATTATCAAATGGGTCACTATATATCTTCCTTATTAGATATTTTGGGCTCTTCCCTCTGTATTAAATGACAGTTATCTTGTTAGTCATCACAATAATTCCTTTCCTTGCCATCCTTAAATTTATTTGAAGTTTAGAAATAATAGGATATATATATTTATAAAAAGTTACCAGGCAAAGTCAACAAAACCAACTTTTGTCCTGCTGCTAAGGGGACACTTCCCAAGGGGAAAGAGAATGCTACCAGGAAATTGACAGTGAATAAACATTGCAATGAAAAAGGTGTTCTTGCAAGGGGCGTTTTAAAAAGTCTGAAAACTAGACAACATAAGGATGACAAAGCAGGATCAGCAGCTTTAACAATACTGGTATTTCTAGTATATTTCACTAGTATTACTTTTTGTTCATTATTTGAAAGAAAATTATTTTTAGAGTTTTTTTCAGACTTCTAATACACCATGCATTGTGAATTCAAGTTGAATGTAGAGATAATAAAATGTTCTTCCATGAGATGTGTATCAATTTCTAATATCCTTTTGTTAAATGATATTTTCAAGGGTCTATTCTCTTTTAAACTTGTAAGGAATGTGATTAGTCATTCATTTAGCATATTTTGCATTCTAATGTTTTGTTCATGTTTCCTCGTGAAGTTTCGTACCGGTCTCTTCAATAAACTTCCTTTTCTTGCCATGACTTATTTACCAAATCTTTATTAATATTCGTTCTGGGAGAGATGAAAATTTGTAACTATTTAACAATTCTATGTACTATATAGTGTAGCTCAGAAAAATAACAACTTGTTCACATTCCACCGCACTAAAATGTTGCTATAGGCTATAAGTGCTATTTGACAACATTGTTTTAACTCACGCATGTTGATCTTGCAAATGCAATAGAGAATTTTACTTGAGTCTAATGACTTGGCTGTAAAGTGCTTTTTACTTTCTTTTCGTTTTGCTGAGGTTTGTTTTTGTTTAAATGCTGTTATGCAAAGCATCCAAGGCTAACGCAAATCCATAATCACATTATTACAGGGAAAAGTGAATGGTGAAGGTGAGGCAAAGAACGCAGTTAATCCAGCCAGAAGGATTTACCTGCGATAATGAAGTATATAGCAATCTATTGTTTTTTGAGGGTAAAAAAAGTAGTCAGATGTCGCACAACTCATTGAAGCTTTTATTCTTTTGGTTTATGCTACTAACTCTTGTATATAGCGTTAGTGGTTCTAGCTAGTATGGTTATGACCCCGACATGCAATATTCGGTCATACATTTTAGTTTCTGTTTCTAACAAAGTACCAAAAGTTATACAGTTTAGTTCTTTCAGTCAGTGTTGCATTTGTGCACGCCAAAGTTATCCTACAACATGCCACGTGTTCAGAAATTAGGCATGTTTATGGTTGTTTGGCAAATGACCCACCACTATTGTCTTCTCCATATTATAGATCTAAAGCTTTTACTTACATTTTCCCATTCTTCCCCAAACTAGACAACTAATAACATCAACTGAAATATTACGCCATCCATTTTTCCACTTTATAGTTGAAAAATAAAATAATGTCAACCATGGAAAATTGAGTAATTGACAAGTAATTGTGTAATAATTGATAAGAGACCTGTTTATTCAAGCAAGGTCATAAAGGTAAATTAATCAACTTTATTTTATTTTGGTGATATGTAAGTCTGGATTGTTTTAGCTTTAAAAAATAGATTTTTTTTTTGTATTTTTAAAATGATTTTTATTAAAATATTTTTCAAAATTGTTAAAATACTAGAGATTGAGAGACTTTTGAAAAAATTGTGTGTTTTTTAAAAGCACTACAAAGATTTTATTATATATAGAGAGATTACAGTTAATCACATGATATAGTCGATGTGAGACTATTCTATATAGAAATATTCTTAACACTATATTTACAAATATCAACATTTCTCCTCAAGCTGGAGCATATAAGTCAAATGTACCAAACTTGTCACATATATAATTAGTTATGAGACTTCACAGATATTTTGTAAACACATATGCTAATTGATCATTAGAGTTGACAAAGTTTGTGACGATGTCGTCAGATTCAATCTTCTCTCTAACAAAGTGACAGTCTATCTCAATATGTTTAACCCTCTCATGAAAGATTGGATTTGAAGCAATGTGTATTGCAGTTTGATTATCACCGACAAGTGTCATTTGGTCTTGCTTCTTCAATTTCAAGTTCTTTGAACAACTATTTTAACCAAATGAGTTCACATGTTGTCATCGCCATGTCCCTATACTCTGCCTCGGGGCTTGATCTTGCAATTACATTTTGTTTCTTACATTTTCAAGATTTAAGGTTTCCTCCAATAAGTACACAATATCCAGATATGGATCGTCTATCAATGGGTGACCCTTCTCAATCAGCATTGAAGTATCCAACTGTATGAGTGTGTCATTTATCTTCATACAATAAACATTTGCTTGGAGCATATTTGATGTATCTCAGAATTTGGATAACATCATCCATGTGTTCTTGACAAGGAGAATTTAAGAACTGGCTTACCACACTGACTGCAAAAGAAATGTATGGACTAGTGACTATGAGATAATTCAACTTTTCAACCAATCTCCTATACCGTCTTGAGTCTGATAGAGGCTCCTCCTGATTGTATAGTAGTTTGAAACTTGAATTCATAGGAGTATCAGTTGGTTTAGCATTCAACAAACATGTTTCTTCCAAAATATCCATAGCATATTTTCGTTGAGAAATCACCAAACAATCTTTAGATTGAGCTACCTCAATACCCAAGAAATAACGGAGTTTACCAAGATCTTTTGTCTGAAATTGATTTGAGAGATGTTGTTTCAACTGGAGTATTCCCTACTGATCACTACCAGTTATGACATATCAACTACATACACAATAAGACAAATTCACCCTTGGGCTGAGCGACGATAAAAGACAGAATGACCAGCTTCACTACGGACCAAACCAAATTATTGTACTACAATGTTGAATCTGTCAAATCAAACTCTCGGAGATTGCTTAAGACCATAAAGAGACATGTGTAGCCTACAAACCATATTCGATGTTCTCCCTGAGCAACAAACCTAGGTGGTTGCTCCATATATACTTCCTATTCAAGATCACCATGTAATATACATTTTTGATGTCAAGTTGATGAAGAGGCCAATGTCGAATGGCTGCAATGGCTAGAAGAAGTCTAACAGATTCCATCTTGACTACAAGTGAGAAGGTATCACTATAATCCAACCCAAAAATTCGAGTGTATCCTTTGGCTACTAAACTAGCTTTAAATTGATCAATCTTACCATCTGGACCAATTTTCACTATATAAAGTCAACGACAACCTACTTAAGATTTCCTAGAGGATAGAGGAACCAGTTCCCAAGTACCACTACTTTGAAGAGCGCATATTTCTTCAATCATTGCTTGCCTCCACTCAGAGTGAGATAATGCTTCACCTGGAATTTTAAGAATAGAAACAAAAGACAAAGAAGACAAACAAGTATACTGCTAAGGGGAAATACGATGATATATAAACCAATATAATATGGAGAAGGATTTTGTGTTTGACATATACCTTTTTCGAAGGGAAATCGAAAGATCAGACTCAGGTTATAGAATTAGATCTAGTGATGGCAAGGGCATCAGAGGAGACTCTACAATGACCTCAGAGACATTTACGACCTCAAGGATAGGTACGACAGACATTTGTTGACAAGGATGATATGTTTGAAGTGGGCGAGAAGTTGGGGGGGGTCAACCGTAGAGTTGTCTAGTGGGCCAGGTTCCCTAGAGTGATGGGGGATAATGACATATGGGACTTCTAGAAGTAGTGTGGGAGTACTCTCTAGAAGGGGTTCCGGAGTTACTTGGTTGAACTCTAAATATGGAACAGACTCAAAAAAGGTTTCATCGGTCGACATGAGGTATGTATGTGAATAGAAACGATAACCTTTTTAGGATCAATGATAACCATAAAAAACACTTTAGTGATCGAGCTGATAGTTTATCAAGACAAGGAGAGAGATTGTGTATAAAACATGTAGACCCGAAGACTTGGGGAGGAATTGGGTGAAGGGGGAATGGGGAAAAAGATTGAATGAGGAATTTTATTGTTAAGGGAAGATGATGGCATGCGATTTATAAGGTAATATGTCGTTAGCATAGTGTCCCCCAAAAATTGAAGTGGAATATTACCATGGAGAAGTATGGCCTGAGTGGTTTCTGATCTAACCTGATCAGACTTGGACCGTCACGGCTGGCTCCGAGCTGAAAGTTTTGAACGAGGTGGGGGGGGGGGGTACCTGCAAGACACTCCGATCCTGAAGTAAGTAAGAGCACGAGCAGGAAATAGTAAGTATGGGTAGAATGATGAATACCTGACCCTCTGGAAACAGAGGGTATTTATAGCCCCCAGCGCTGGGCCAAGGTTCCTTCATTGGGCCGGGCAGGTTTGGCCCAATGGAGGAACTGCCAGGTTCTACGTGCGTAGTGGGGACCCGCACGTGGTCCCCTCCCTGGATGTTCTGCGTGAAGTGCGGGCGGACAAAGACGCGGTCTTTTCAGGGTCTCGTTGGGAGTGCAGTGGACTGAGTCTGCCCTAGTTGGGGTGCTCGAGGTGATGTCGAGCTGGACAGCAGGATGTCGAGCTGGACAGTTGGAGGTCGAGCAAGTAACCTCAGGGAGCACGTCGGGCACGACTGTGACTCTTTGGTCGGCGTGGTCCTCAACAAGTTCGTTTGGATTGGGCCTTATCAATGCTATTGGGCCTGTCGGGCCCAGTCCAGAACAGGAGCCCCCCAAGTCGTGGTTCCTTGGGTTAGGAGCCATGTCTTGATCTCAGGTTGTTTCCGTTTCGGGGTCTCGCGCCCGGGTCAGAGATGCAGCTCCTCGAGGGCTTCTCCATGTCGTGCTCGGAGACAAATCCTTCGCGGTGGATGCTCGGGGAATCCTCACCGGCGCGCGTCTGTCGAGCACACGGGGTATCTTTCGGGAACTATGCTGCCACCCTATGATGATAGGGTCATCATTGCCTTGGGAGCCGTGCGTCGAGGAGAGAAACTCCGTGGTTGCCCGAGGTGACGTTTGGTATTCCACGTCATCACTATAAATAGGATCCTTGGGCCCCATAACGCGTTACTACTCTTTGCGCTCCTACTGCTGCTGTTCTTCCAGATTTTCATAGCATAGCTGCGATTCCCGTCACAGATTCCTTTCCTCCATTGCAGAACTCACTCCTTGATTGCAAGTAAGTGACTTATCTTCTTCGTTTTCCTGTTGTGATGCATGATTTTCACTGTTGTAGACGTTTTAGGGACTGTGCACGTGGGACTAGCCCGATATATTCATGTTTAGCTCGACAAATTCATGCTTAGGACCGGCAAACACATGCTCGTGGCCGGTAGATACATAGTTTAGGTTACAATCTGCAATGCTGCCCGGGGTCTTCATGATCCAGGGCGCCTGATTCATGATCGTGCCTGGTATGTTCATGGCTCTGGCCGTAGGTTTTATGATGTTGCTCGCCATGTTCATACCTTGGGTCGGCATATTGGAGAGTGACCGCGTTGTCGGTTTGCTTAAGCGGCTTGGAGAAGGTCTCGTTGAGTTATCCGGACGTCGGGGAGACGACTGTTATTTTGTTTCAAACTTAACTTATGGTCGCGCGTGGAGCGATGTGGTTTGTCGCACGCTACATCTGGTCCGTTACGTCGAGCGTATGGTTTCTTGCCCAATTGACTGGTTTCCCGTGCTCTGCAAGTAACCATGGCAGACGAGCCGTGCTCTTCTAGACGCCCCGAACGGGAGGAACAAAGTGCCGATGAGGCGGTGAGTTTGATCGACACTGTCGACGACCCTCTGTTGGACTGGGTGGGCGCCGAGCCCAGAGGAATCGCGTCGATCTATAGCCGGCGTAACCGAAAGCCATATGCTGTCCTTGAGGCGGGCCACGGTCAGCCTGATTTTCAAAAGAATTTCGTCGTTACACGACCGACCTCTACTGCCCGGATCTGCTCGGTGTACCCCGAGTATAGTTTTCCCATGTACGAAATTGCGTTCAAAGATCTTGGGCTGCAGCTGCCCTTCAGTGACTTTCAGACC